ACACAATGCAACAGCTGGAGAGGGATAAAGCGATAATGAGATAATGCTTCTTTTAGTCCCAAGCAAGGTGCAGAGAAGAATCTTCCTAGAGAGACTTAGAGATGCCTTGGACAAAAAGCTGAGACAAGAACAAGCTGGTTTTTGTCAAGACAGGTCATGTATTGACTACATTGCACGCTGCGCATCATTATTGAACAGTCCCTCGAGTGGCAACCCTAACGATCCAGTGATCGAACCTCCCGATCGTTTCATTAAACGAAGGGAAATAAATAGATTGTATAGTCTCGTTCTCCATTCAATGTACTCGAATAAATTTGAGGCTTGGCAACTGCTCAAATTGGCTGAAACACCAATTTCAACTGTTGTCATTATGTCAGTGGATATCCTGTCCGGTAATTCATCGTGTTACAACCAATAATCGATACAATAAAGATAAAGGTTAAATGTGTCGCCCATCCCGGGTGGTTTTAAACTATTTAACCATAATTAAGCTGTTTAAGAAAAAAAAATTAACAAAAACAGTTCCTCGCGTGGTCAATAATCACAGCTGTTTGTTGCGATATAGATTATTTTGGGAATAACGTATCTATTGACTAAAGCTGCCCTAGTGAATATTGTTGTATTGCAATTTTTGTATTTGGTTAGGGTGTGATTGATTTTGTCCGTCAGATTTTCCATGTGTCTTTGTTTTCTGTCGTCTTACCCGTTTTATCAAGCCACTATCAAGGAGGGAAGCTAAAACAAAAAGAGTTATTCACCTACAATCCAGCTGAAAAGTTAAAAAAAAAACCACCATTTGTAGTCAGTGTCAAAGTGGATGTGTTAAAACAAGATGCCAATCCATCACCCTGTATATGACATTTGAATCAATTGACACTCAAGAACTCGCTTGTGTCATATGTGACAGAATGTATCACGTTTTATTTAGCTTGGATGTGGAAACGGAGCGATGACCTTTTATGCTTTTGGTCTATGGAAATTTACAGTTACGAATTATTTTTTAGCCTATATATAAAGAGGGAGAGAGAGAGAGAGAGAGAGAGACAGAGAGAGAGAAAGAAAGAGAGAGAGAAGAGAATGAGAGTGAGAAAAAGATAGAGAAAGAGAGATAGATACTTGTATGATTCTAGAAGAAATTTTAAGCGCAATGTTAATTTTATTTATGGATCACATACATATTTCTGTGCTTATATTAATATATTGATTTTTGTTAGCCATGACGTTTAACTATTTCTAAATAAATAATAACTATAGCTTTCAGGTATTCCTTGCTCTTATTTAACTATTTAGTAAAACTGTCCTTTATAAATATGAAATTTAATTGAAATTCTATTTAAGTTATGATCTGTTACGACAATTATCTCCAACATTTTTTGGCTTCACACCATTTAGAGTGCTTACGTTTGATTTGGCAACGAGTTTTTGCTAAGTCGTTGCATTACGTTATTTAGCTATTAAGCTGCGTGATCAGGCATTTTTCAACACGGACTCGTCGAACACAACAACAAAAGTTCTTTATACCTCTAAAACTGTATATGAATAGATCTATATTACTTCAGTCGAATAAATTAACATATTGATTCCAAAAAGTTTTAAATGCACATTTTATTTTAGATAGTTAACACCTAGGTCTAATTTACACATTAAAGAGGTTGAAAACAATTTATCATCAGTTACAGAACACACATTTTCATATACTTAACTACGTAATATTCACCACACAATACATTTTTGCACTGTTCACACTTAAATTATTTAACAATTTACTTACATTACAATAGAGTTTCATCATTAACATCTTACAATCATCACATTTTACCACGCCGTAATTACAGAACACCAGAAACATATCTTCAACAAACATCTCATACAAATAACTGAAAAAATCTTATTAACTTACACTTTAAGCACCTTAAAAGTAAACACTTTACATATAACATGATCTGTAGAACTTTTAAGTTTTTTTTTCTTCATTTACACACGACCGACAAAACACACAATAGTTTAAACACCTCGCACACCTTACACTCACACACTTTAGACTCTTTACACCAACACAGTACACCATTTAAACACTAAACACATGCACATCGTTAGGACTAAAACCAAGCCAACTAGTGCTTCCCTACACAGGTGCAAGTTGGGCTACATGAAGAGTAGGATTTTCAAACGTGACCGTGTTAACTAGAGCGTGTAATAGGCGATATAATTGCGATCGGTCTGGTAAATCCGGCCACGTCTACTTCTTGGTTAAATGCCTGGAACCGTTTTGTTTAACCGTTTCAAAGAAGTTTAGCACAGACGATTTTAACAGGTCTTTCACAGAAATCAGATTTTTTTTTACTACCATAGCGTGTATCAATTAATGTCTTAAGTATTATGTATTCAATATAGTTTGGGGACTAGGTAAAACATGCGTGTTCTTTATAATTAGTTAGACCCCCTCCTACCTCTGTCGTCACGCCTCCACTTTGAATGCAACTCGCCCCCTCTCTGTCTTCCTTATTTTCAGTGTACTAATTCAGTAACATTTATATGAAGCATGCAATTCTAAACAATTGAATACTTATATATCCTAATCACAATGGTCTGTTATTAAATTAAAAAGTAAAAAAAAAAGGAATGTGTTGAGAAAATAAATAAATGAATCATTTAAAAAGTACAACCATGTAATAAGTGCTTGTTTAATGTTGCGACATATTTTACTTAAAGGGATGCATTGCAGCATTGTATATTTACTTGCTTATTTTTTATGGATAGAAACTTTTTAAAAGTATTTTTCTCTCTAGTCGTATGCAGTGTTATAATACGTCATTATGGCTACGTCTAGTTTATGACATCTGTGTTTTTATTTATTACGACTTGTAGCAGAGGTAAGAAATTCATATACATAGAGCGATTTATTTAAAATGTTAAATATGTTTTTTTTAAATCTATACAGAAAAAACAGTCTATTATACAATATCAGTATTTTGATGGTACGTTTCATATTAGGAAATGCAGATGGACAATAACTGAGCCATATCTTCATGTGGTTCGCCCCATATTGTAAATAAAAAATTATAATAAAAATAAGCAAAATAAATAATAAGGTGAGGCGTTCTAAGGTAGATAACCCAACATTTTTTTTAAATCGTTACCACAATCGTTACCACAATGACGATTTCGTGGGCATAAGTAAAATATTTTTAAAAGTTTCGTTGGTCAAAGTGCAAGCCATAACTTTTTATCAATTCATTGCGTAACTAGATATAGCCCTTTTATTTAACTGAATATATGAATATTGGGAGTTGTGGATATGAGGGGTGGGATGTGGATACAGGGAATTGTGATTATGGGCAGGTGTAGATTATAGACATAGGCTGGTGTGAATCTCGGCTGGTTTGTATGAGAAAAGTTAAGCAAATGGTCAAATGGGGATATTGGCAGGTAGAAAAATGTCATATGAGGATAAAAACAGGCAGAGTTTCTTCCAGTTTCCATCCTCCCCCGAACGAAATGGAATTTATATAGAAAACATATAGGCCTGCTTTTACCAGTGTCAGCCCCCCCCGTCCCCCGGAGAAAAAGGTCTAAAAGAAACACCGTGAGCATGCCTGTTTAGAGTAAACATACACTTACTGGTGTAAATCGATGTGTAGTTAATGTGAACTTTATGATTTCTCATAATACTAGCAGTATGGGCGTCAATTTAATTCAATAATAATGGTAGGATGATATGGGATTTATTTAGGCGGCTTAGCTGCAAAAATTGTATAAGCCTTAGGAAATCTTACACAATTAAATTAATCTGAATCATGTTATAAATTAGAATAACAGGTGAACCTTATCAAAAATAATGCACTAATCCAAAAACATTTACTCTATTAGCCAAAAAAGTAAAAAAACATTTAAAGGGAAAAAAACAACAACAAAGTAGGCTAATTATATTCAAATAATGATAATCAATATAAAATGTGAATTTTTTCCTCTTGATTAAAATGTTAGTTATCAAACAACTTTTCCGCTAGCTCAACATCAACGTCAACATGAAGTAGATCCCGCGCCTTGACCAAGGCTTCCATCATATATTGATATGTTGCTTTGTTACGATTCTTACGGTACCATATACCTAAACAACTCGCTATTGTTCTTTGTACATTAAAACCACAATTTTGTTTTTCATTCTCCACTTGTATTGAACTGAAATTGAGTACAAGTAGAAATAGTTCCCAGTTACGCCCTACAACTGTTGCAAATCTACTGATTTCTTCCTCGGTAAGTGTTCTCTCTTTTGGGTTTGTTCTGTCAACTAAGGAAAGACATATAATTTAAGTTTTTATATATATATATATATATATATATATATATATATATATATATATATATATATATATATATATATATATATATATATGTGTGTGTGTGTATGTATATATATATATATATATATATATATATATACATATATATATATATATATATATATATATATATATATATATATATATATATATATATATATATATTAATTGAGTTCGATTTGTGTGTTTAACTAACCTATACTGCATCAGCAGAATTTTGTCATTCATTTTACTAAAACGCCTCTTAGGGAGGTGCGTCAATAGTTTGCACTATTAGCTGTTAATAGATTCTGCGTTGTGCAGATTAATTATATTGTAGTCGATCATCCGTACTGAGCTAAATTCCTTTCTACTTAGAGGGCAGCAAGCAACGCACAAATGGTCTACACACATACACACACACATAGAATCACACATGCGCACACAGACACACCCACATCTAGACACACACACAGGCTCAGACACAAACACACACACATACACACACAATATATATATATATATATATATATATATATATATATATATATATATATATATATATATATATATATATATATATATATATATATATGCGTGTACGTCTGTAGTTTATTTTATCACCAGAGCCCTTATTTGAAATCCATAATTTGTATTGCATCTTATAACTATGTTATGTCAAGTACCGGGTGGTGTACTTTCCCTTGGCTGGGGTTCAGTGATAGATGGTGTTGGAATTTCAGGATTTGTTCGCTCTCTTGTTACAGATGTCGTTGTGGGTAGAGATGGCTGAGTCGTACTTGTTGTAGGTAATTTCTTGTCTTGGACTTTTAAAAAAAAAAATTACATGAATTTTAATCCAGTGGTTTTCAACTTGAGTTAGATCGAACCAAAGGGGTTAAGCGAGTCAATATTAGGAAGTCAAGACACACACCGGACTTATTTGATTCAGGATATGATTTCGTCAGTGTGGACAATCAGCGGCGTAACAGACGAACCGAGGAAAGTAAAACAAAGGGGGTCCTTAACAACATAGGAGAGTAGCATTTTATTTTGGTAGGGGAGAGCGGCATATAAGGCGCATTATGTGTACACTCATTACTTCGCTGGGATGTATAAAAATAAAGTTCATTTTAAAATACAGAAGATAACATAACACAAAATAACACATCAAGATTTACTCAAAATTACTACAAAGTAATTACAACAAAGGTATACATGTACATTTAAATTGTATACATTATGGCCTCATAAAGTCCCCTGCTTTTTTTAAAAGTGGTTTACAGGTCTAATTCTAGATTTGCAGTTTGCTTTATGAATATGAAATGTAATTGTATCCTCAATTTTAGAAAAATAATTTGTCTAACACTTTACTTTCAATATAGCTATCTTTTCAACACATTTCTAGAAAAGTTGCAAGAATGTAATCGTAATAAAATAGTTCACCATGTACAGCTAGTTTAAGCTAAGTAAGTTGTTGGACAAAGAATTAAAAACTTTTTACCTATTGGCACTTGTTTTAGGTCCAGCAAAACCCGAAAACGTACTGCCTGCAACTCTTTGAGTAATTCCTATAATAAATGATGTTAATTATTACATTAGCAGCAAATACCCGGCTTTGAAGCGGTTTTGGGAAACATATACATTTTTCAATTAAATGCCCATTTGTAAATATGGACGCTGTAGAATATATACATAACACTAAACTCAACCACAGACTCATCCACAATCACAAACACATAATCACAAACACAAACATATTTATAAACAAAAACATATCGCAATCACTATAACTATTCCTATAATCATCCCTATCTTTATAATTATCCCAATCCTTATCACTATAATTATCCCTATTTTTTATCCCTTACAATGACTTTTCTTTTCTTGAGCCCTATCCTTGTTCTTATCCCTATCGCTATCCATATTTTAAATCCATCCGTTTGTTTATTTCTGATCATATCCCATTTAATTTTCCGGTCCTAGGACCTTTGACCACAGGTGCTTTGACCATAGGGGGTTTGACCATAGGGGGTTTGACCACAGCGGAGCTTTGACCATAGGGGCTTTGACCATAGGGGGTTTGACCACAGCGGGCCTTTGACCATAGCGGTGCTTTGACCATAGGGGGTTTGATCATAGGGGGTTTGACCATAGGGGGTTTGACCACAGGTGTTTTCTCAGCAGAGGGTCTTTGATCACAGGTGGTCTATCAACGGGTGTTTGATTACAAGCGCTGTGTCCGGCTTTGATCATAGGTGTTTTGTCCACATAGGGTCTTTGATCTCAGGTGTTTTGTCCACATAGGGTCTTTGATCTCAGGTGGTTTGTCCAATGCTGTCCATATATGGTAAGGCTTTATTTTAAAAGTTGCTAAATTATATTTTAAATTTCGACATGATGTAATAATATGGTCAAACAGATGTACTGACATATTTGCGTGCTATAGCACATCTGTCATTTAGTTAACCATTTTATGTATTACATCTTTGACTATATTGTTGGCAAGTTTTGTATCATTTTTTATCTTTTATATATGCTATGTATTTTCAAGTACTTCTACATAATTTATTTGTGAAACTTGTTATATGTCGCATTATTTGTGTTTCATTTATATTTAAAATAAATCTATGAGGTCTAGCACCAGCCTTTAAGTGGAGACTAAAATATAGTTCTTGGCCTTTTTTAAATACATGTTAATTTCTATTAACGTACTATCAGGAAACATGTATAAAATCGTGTTAATTGTATCACACCTATGATCAAAGCCGGAAAAGCGCTTCTGATCAAACACCCGTTGATAGACCACCTGTGATCAAAGACCCTATGCTGAGAAAACACCTGTGGTCAAACCCCCTATGGTCAAACCCCCTATGATCAAACCCCCTATGGTCAAAGCACCGCTATGGTCAAAGGCCCGCTGTGGTCAAACCCCTATGGTCAAAGCCCCTATGGTCAAAGCTCCGCTGTGGTCAAACCCCCTATGGTCAAACCCCCTATGGTCAAAGCACCTGTGGTCAAAGGTCCGCGCACCAATTTTCCGTAATATTATCTTTATCAATTCTCATATATAATTCCAATAATCTTTTAACTATTACTATTTATATCCATTACCAATTCCTGTAATTATACTAATTTCATACATTTTAAATTGTAAAAGTATCTAATTTATTAATATCCTTAGTAATCATTAACCTTGTTTTTACTTCAGACGGATAAATAAATATTAAATAGTGAAAAGTGGAGTATATGAGGTCGCCAATATGGTGTGTACAAATATTTTAAAAATCGAAAACAATTTGAATTTGTATGCAGTTTAGCCAGAAAATGCTCTAAGACCTTCTTTTGTTATAGTCCACAAGTTTGGCAAAAATGAATCAAATCGGTGCACGCGTGTTCAGTTCTACACCGAACAGTCAATCATGATCAGCCTCGGGTCGTGTGGCTCACAATTGCCTCACAATATTTGCCTCATATATATATATATATATATGCACACCACATTAAACTATATATTGACTGGTAGTTTACAATTTTTTAAATTTTAGAACGAAAGTTAGCACATTTCTGTTATATCTCTGATCATAACTACTGAGCCTTATGTTAAATATAAAGAACTAAAGCATAGCAAAGTTCATCCGACGAATTTAACTATGTAACCATCTAAAAAACTGATACAAACCTTGAGCATGCTGTCATAATTGCCAGATTTACTAAAGTCGTAAAATTTTTTGGCCCCTTGTGTAGCACCTAGCCAGCCTTGAGGGGAAAAGTTTTCCTGCATTTTAAGCATAATGTATTCTTTATGCTGCATGACTGTGTATTCAGCTTCTGTTGTAAATAACGTCGGTTTAAAGATTACAAATATATGATAGAGAAGTGTGCCAATAAATGTATATGTCAAATGAATATCTGCTGATACAAACATTTTACTTATTTGATAGATGGTAGGGTGTAACGTATAAGGTATGACGCTTAAGGTGGATAAATGACACTAATTTTAAAGAATATTAAAGTAATTTACTTTCTAACAAACAACGTAATAGAGTGCACCAAGTAAATAAATATCTTTAAACTACATGAGAATAAAATGGTGATAATAGTTGAATGTTGCACACATTGCATATATATATATATATATATATATATATATATATATATATATATATATATATATATATATATATATAATTTAATATAATATGGTGGCTGGTTGTTTATAAAATTATAATAAAATTGTAAGAAATATTTAGTGTTGGGTAAAAAGTGTTTGCGTTTTGTATGAAAATGTGTGCAAGATCACTTGTATGAATACAAAAACGAATATCAACCTATTTTACAGTTGGGGCTGCTCTGGTAGTGTTCAGACATACAAATAAGGACAACCCACGAGTCTTCGACAGCTTTGGCCATTCCTTCTAGTAGGTTGCCTCCCATGTTTTCTTGATCAATCCAAACATCGAAACCGTCATCCTTATTTCACAAAATATATGTAATTAATACGATCTGCATCGCCATAATTCCCTGCGATTTGAGAGTATCAAATATACTTTTTAGAGAACAGAAAAAAACACACAAAACAACGGTTATATTAAAAATACTTAACTTAAGGGAATAGAATAACATAAATAAAATAATATACCGTACCAACACCTCCACCATGCTAACAACACTACAACCCGCACATAGGAATGTGTAAACTAAGCATGTGTGTGTTTTCAGGTATAACAGTACGAATAAGTAAACTAAACTTAATATTATAGCCAATTTTTATTCAATGCTGTGTATCCTTTTTCCATTATGATATAGGACTCATGCACACTGTTAAAACTTAAGCGACAATCTCAAATAATCAAAACAATATATAATAGACATCAGTCCTAGAATTGTAATATGATAAAGGTAACAACGGGGGAGGGGGGGGAGGCTTTTGTTTATTACTTTCAATTATATGTATGTGAAGGGCAACAACCTATAAGAATTTTTTGAAAAAAAAATCAGTAATCTTTGGTTATTGCATTTCCAAGTTATTATAATATAATTTAAAACTACATGATTTTCTCTCGATACATTGACAATGCCTTCTTTTTCCCAAGATAACATTAAAATTATGATGTTCTATCAAACGGCTAGTTAGTGAAAGAAGGATAACTCAAGTAATTCTACGAAATGTAATTACCCATGAGCTCTAAATATTTACTTTATTTAGACAGTTAACAACAAATTAAATGAATGAATAACAACAAGCTTTGTTTACCGTCAGCCCTCTATATATTTTATTCACCAACATTTTGTCTTTATGGCAGTAGCTTACAAAGATGTGTCTATTGGCTGATGGTTGTATACCTAAATTCACGAAAACATAAATTGGACTTTAGTAATTAAACGAAAAGTTTTGACACAATACAAATGTATTATAACATTGTTTTTGAATTATATTATTTCATTCGTTAAATGTTATATCTATTAACATATCGATTAAAATATATAAATACGATAATGCTATATCTAAAACTTTGTTCAGTTGTCAATACAGCACAGGTAGCTGGAATGTCATGGATCCAATTTTCTGGATTAGAGTACGATATAAAGGCTTCGTTGCGTCTCTTTGTTTCACTTGGGTCCACATGGTAATGAATATATATATATATATATATATATATATATATATATATATATATATATATATATATATACATACATAAATAACTAAAATAAATATGTCTGACGGGGCTTACCTTTTGGCACGCCATTAGCTCCACCTGAGGCTTTATTACCCATTTTGTTAGGTCGAAAGTATTTCTTAGATTTAAGATAAAATATTTTGTAGTAGTAGGACGTATGGCATCTGTGCAAATTTAAATAAAATTATTTTACGCTTTAAAGCTTTGTTCTATTTATTGAAAGACATGTACGATTTTATACACGTATGAGAAAAAAGTGTGAGTAATCTCCCCTAACATTAATGCTATTTAGATTTTCCATTAATTGGTTAATGCTCATTACTTTAGACAGCAGAAGACAGGGTATAGGCATACACATTTACGTCTATCCTAGAAAAATTGGATTATTCTGTAGATTCGACAGACAGACAGACAGACAGACATACAGACAGACAGACATACAGACAGACATACATACAGACAGACAAACAGACATACATACAGACAGACAGACAGACAGACAGACAGACAGACAGACAGACAGACAGACAGACAGACAGACAGACAGACAGACAGACAGACAGACAGACAGACAGACAGACAGACAGACAGACAGACAGACAGACAGACAGACAGACAGACAGACAGACAGACAGACAGACAGACAGACAGACAGACAGACAGACAGACAGACAGACAGACAGACAGACAGACAGACAGACAGACAGACAGACAGACAGACAGACAGACAGACAGACAGACAGACAGACAGACAGACAGACAGACAGACAGACAGACAGACAGACAGACAGACAGACAGACAGACAGACAGAAAGACAGACAGACAGACAGACAGACAGACAGACAGACAGACAGACAGACAGACAGACAGACAGACAGACAGACAGACAGACAGACAGACAGACAGACAGACAGACAGACAGACAGACAGACAGACAGACAGACAGACAGACAGACAGACAGACAGACAGACAGACAGACAGACAGACAGACAGACAGACAGACAGACAGACAGACAGACAGACAGACAGACAGACAGACAGACAGACAGACAGACAGACAGACAGACAGACAGACAGACAGACAGACAGACAGACAGACAGACAGACAGACAGACAGACAGACAGACAGACAGACAGACAGACAGACAGACAGACAGACAGACAGACAGACAGACAGACAGACAGACAGACAGACAGACAGACAGACAGACAGACAGACAGACAGACAGACAGACAGACAGACAGACAGACAGACAGACAGACAGACAGACAGACAGACAGACAGACAGACAGACAGACAGACAGACAGACAGACAGACAGACAGACAGACAGACAGACACGGCAACATACCTGTTATTCTGATAGTTAAGAAATATAAAAGACGAATAATATCGTTTGGATCCTTGTCTTTGTTTTTAAATTTCGCCTCAAATATTTTTAAATATAATTCAGACTTTTGATAACATTAGTTACTTCTACTCGTGCTACTGCCAAGTGCTAAATGTGGTTCTGAATTTCGTTTTCTTTATGTTTTGCTGTATGATACGGTCCTCTACCCGAAAAGCACTAACACTTGATTATCGATATCATGTGGCTCTAAGGTTTTATTGATTATTTTTTTTTATCTCCTGGTACACTGCGGTAAATCCTTTTCCTGAATACACAGTAATACAATTTTAATGCATTTTTGGAACAAAGGGCTTTAGATACAAAATCAGACAGTATGTCGCCCATTGCATGATCGAAGTTATAATTCTGTATAATACAGTACGATATAAAAGAGATTCAATTATTATGAATGGTTCTGCATTGTATATTACGGTTTTACAGTAATGCAAGTTATATTGTAACACTGCATGGTTCACATCCGTGATAGGGTCTAGGTGTATTCTAAGTGTAGCACTTCAGTCTAGAGTATTCTATGTATAGCCCTTTAGTCTAGAATAATTCTAAATATAGCTGCATGGATATCTTTATAGTGACTGAAGAAACGAAACTTTTATAGTTGACACTCACGAGAGTACACAAAAAAAGAATGACATCACATGTTGTGGATAAAAATAGAATTGACAGTGAAATGTCTAAAAGGGTACACAATAATTATGACGTCATTTATAATAGATAATAAAAACACTATTATAACCGTCGAAATTATTTGCATAATAATATTAAACTGTATGTATACGAATCAAACGGGTAAACAAGAATATCATAATAACGTAGACGCAGAATAAATAAAATTGTAAACATTTTAAAATATGAAAATAAGTAGGTAGGCTACGATCAAGTCATTATAAATATTTACAATATAAAGAAAGTAAACGCGTATTAAAATAAACTAAGGTTCCGCTGCTATTTTAGTTTTAGATCTAGGTGAAGCGACTAAGTGCAAGTAATAGGTGTCGGTCTAGCGTGAAGTCTAATATAAAGGGGTTTAAATTTCCGTTTAGAAAATTGATATTGATCTGTATTATAAAGGATTAAGGTTTAGCGTCTAAATGTAGATAACACATCTTGCTTGTAGATGTAGGTTTAGCGTAAGTCAGTGTGATCTACAATCTACAAATGCGGCCTTTGTATAGGATAATCCTTGGTGCAAAATGTATGTGTAAAATTTAAGATTAGGTTTAGTATTAATGCGCTGTAGCTACGGGTAGGTCTAGGCTACCAGATTAGGTAATATTGCAGTGTCTAAATGTGGCGTCTAAACACACACAATATACTTCAATTGCTTGCAAAATGGTTAAATAGAACTAGAATCAAATGCCGAATAGGATGTAGATAGTTAATGACACCATTGATAATAGAGAAAAAAAATATACATAAAGCATACAAAATAATAACGTAAATAAACTTCTCAGTTCTTCTAAAACAGAATTTCAAACAGAATTTCAACAGACATTTATTTGAAAATATATTTCCTAAACCCGGCCTAGCCGGATAAGCTGGTACATTAGGCATATTTTATTTGACAAAAATACAAAAAAGCATCAAAGAAACACAATAATAAATTGGAGCAAAATAGATTTTTAATTACTAGATTTAAATACAAGAATTATCAGTCTCTCTTTATATATATATATATATAAATATAAATATATGTATATATATATATATATATATATATATATATATATATATATATATATATATATATATATATATATATATATGTATATATATATATATATATATATATATATATATATATATATATATATATATATATATATATATATATATATAATTAGAGTTACATACTGGATATACATAGACAAGGAGTTTGAAAGAACAAACACATTTCGAGGATATCATAGAGTATAACCCTGTAATAAAGGTGAAACATCTAACATAAAACGCTGAAATATTGGATACATAAATATAAAAAAAAATATGCTATTGGATCTATAACTGAAATAAACAACTACATGTTCCTAACTGTCCGAAATCAACCACCGCTGACGAGATACGCTGCGCACAATCGGCATCCAACCCAGAACTATCTCTATTCTAAGTTTAGTAGTGGAGACCCAATAACTCCAGTCGTATCGCATAGACTGCCGTGACTGCTCAGTACCATGCTCGGCCTTTTTCCGGTCATACGACTGTCATAGTCAAGCCATTACTCTTTGGTCATTCCTAGGTTTATAATTAAAGGTTTCTCAACCTTTCGTGACAGTCGTGGCCAAACTCGAGATGGCCATAACTATATATATATATATATATATATATATATATATATATATATATATATATATATATATATATATATATATATATATATATATATATATATATATATATATGTATATATATATATATATATATATATATATATATATATATATATATATATATATATATATATATAGGCCCTATATATAACTATACATATTTATGGTAATACGTTTTAATGGTTCGATATATTAAAATAAAAAAAAAGATCAATGCATTAAGAAATATCATTAGGAACGTAACATTTCGTATACCTTTGGCCAATCGATATCAGTTTTATGTAAACGTTCAGCACGTTTTAATTCATTTACTAATTTCTCCTTAGTGATAGTACCCAGATGTATCCGATGCCACCTTCCTAAAAGCTTTCTTAAAGTAGTTACTTTATAATAATGATTTGTTTGCATTTCAGTGTCGATTTCAATACCAGAGAAACCCAAGATAAGCAGAAGACCTTCCCAGTTAGCCCCTATCGTTGACGATATTCTGCAAATTTTTTCTTCTGTTAGAACACCGTATTCAACATCAGCTGTAAAAAAAAATTGCAAAATACAATTAGTACTATCATATATTGAGGAGTATTATAGATAAAGTATGCAGTGAGATCATATCGTCTGTAAATTATGTAAATCAACATCAACATCAACATCAACATCAACATCAACATCAACATCAACATCAACATCAACATCAACATCAACATCAACATCAACATCAACATCAACATCAACATCAACATCAACATCAACATCAACATCAACATCAACATCAACATCAACATCAACATCAACATCAACATCAACATCAACATCAACATCAACATCAACATCAACATCAACATCAACATCAACATCAACATCAACATCAACATCAACATCGACATCGACATCGATATCGACATCGACGTCAACGTCTACGTCTACGTCTACGTCTACGTCTACGTCTACGTCTACGTCTACGTCTACCTCTACATCTACATCTACATCTACCTCTACCTCTACCTCTACCTCTACGTCTACGACATCTACGACTGCATCGACATCGACATCAACATCGACATCGACATCGACATCGACATCGACATCGACATCGACATCGACATCGACATCGACATCGACATCGACATCGACATCGACATCGACATCGACATCGACATCGACATATATATATATATATATATATATATATATATATATATATATATATATATATATATATATATAACTTCCTTTTTGTTGTCTACGTAGACACATAGGCCTAATTAAACGACATAAACAAGTTACTTTTCTAAAGAAGCATACTTTTAAAATATATTTAATATATAAAATGTTATGACACGTACTAGCTTTTGATTCCTGTAGTGCTTTTCTAGAGATTTGATTTGAGCTTCCTGCAATGATAAATGTTTGTTGGCTTATATATATATATATATATATATATATATATATATATATATATATATATATATATATATATATATATATATATATATATATATACATATATATATATATATGTGTGTGTGTGTGTGTGTGTGTGTTTGTGTATTTACTCTAAATATACTATTTGTTTTAATTAAAATATTGATACAAACCTCTATAATAACTTTGGTACCACGCTGGTTGGTAACCTGCAAGTACTTGTACGCTTCTAGAAGTGTCTTTATCTAAAATTTTATTAAAAAAATAATCTCTAATGACTAGACGCTATTGACGCCAAGCAGTAGTGATACAGTTCTGAAGTACCGAAGGATTATTGTTTAAAATATTCTTAAATTTAAATCTATTGTTAGATTCCTAAAGCTTTCAATCAATCATGCATATGGTTAAATGAAAAAATCAACAACGTGTGCATGATATTATGGTGGGTATAGGTCTAATTCTAAACATTTTAAATAGCACTATTTCTCCGATCATACACAAAATCGTAGAAGTAACTCACCTATGTTTGCATAGTATAAGATAAGATTTACAACTTCCTTATGTTTGTTTAAAGCTGCATAATTTAATGCGCTCTTCCCAGTTTTGTCCACAACGTCGATATTGACATTATTGAAAAGTAGCAATTTAACTGCTGGAACTCTACCACGCATCGCTGCCAACATTAAAGCAGTCTGTCCTTCACGGTTCGTACAGTTGACGTTGGCATTATACTGTAGTAGTGTTTCCATGATATCCGTATATCCTTTAAAAGCTGCATGCATCAAAGCTGTCCATCCGTTGCTGTCATAGCTGTTTATATCAGTGCAACATTTCAGAGATAATTTAACAACAGAAAGTAATCCGCTTTGCGCAGCATCTATCAGCTCGTTGTTACAATGCCCACGTTTAATTTCATATGAAGAATTGTACCAATTAATTCCTCTGCTAGTATGCATTTCATAGACACATTACAATATGTTAAAACGGTTTATTTTTGCAGTTTTTTAATTTTTGAAAATGATAACGCTTTGAAATCCAAAGAAGTTTATCACAGCATAATTATTTGAACCTTTATATCTGATGAAGTTTAATTTTGAAAATTTATATGCGTTTAAATATATATATATATATATATATATATATATATATATATATATATATATATATATATATATATATATATATATATATATATATATATATATATATATATATATGTCTACACATGTACATTCATATATATATATATATATATATATACATAAAGGTAAAAATGTACCCACAAGAATGCTGTGTTCGTAAAATGCAGCGTTCTCAGCTGAATGATATTAAAATAGGTATTTCGGGCGACACGTTAGATCGA